GAAGCTGTTGTTTTTTTTTTCCCAACCCTAATCCTCTTTTTTTTTTTTTTTTACCTCAGGCCGTTATTACCATGGTGACCATGCACAGACAGAGTGCAGCCTTGACTTTTTGCTATAACAAAGGAGAGAAGTTGGGGGAGGCCGGATAGTAGGTGAACACATAGTAACTAGACAAATGGCTTTATCTAGGCGTTTGCCAGGGACTGAAAGTGTAGTATGCAGTCTTCTGTTGTTGAGGTGTTGCACGCTACAGTAGACATTGAGATTTTTTTTATTGTATTATATTTGAAACTATTTTAAATATTGTATTTTATTGAAGACATTAACTATCATGAGATTACAAATGAAAACATAAAACATGCATTTGAATCATGTTTATTTAAAAAAAAAATTAATTTAATTTTAAATTATTTTAATTTTATATTATTGGTAAACCGTAAAATCATGACATTACAATTTTAAGTATAAAGACATACATTCAGAATGATTTAGAGTATTTTTTACATTTTAAATATATTTGATATTACGCTTTTAATTATTTTAAACATTATATTCTAGTGAAGACAGTAAAAAACAACAATTTTAAACTTCAAACTTCAGTACAAGGACTTTCATATTACATCTAATAATGAAAAGATAAACCATAACTTTAAAACATTTTTTTTTTATTATGTTTAAACACCTGTTTTTTATGAAAAAACTTGTGCTGTATGTTATTATAAATGTGTATTCATGGCAACATAAAAGTACTTCTAACATTCAAATGTAACCAACATATTACCGCCTCTATAGTGTTAGACATATTGTATATTATAGTTTTTGTTCTTGATGACTATTCTGTCTGGTTTTGCCCTGTTTGTGACCTCACCCCTAGAGCATATGATCTGAAATTAAACAAACGGCATGTTTGGCCAGAGTTTAAATCTATGCATTTCAAAGTCAGTGCTGGACAATGGTTGAGATTGAGTTTAACTCCCACGGTCGGGCCTGTAAACAGTGGCTTTGTGTGAACAGACTCTGATCCCTGGTGCCGATGTCTCCACTCTACTCTCTGTTGTTACCTCACACTGATAAACAGCACAGTTATTTCAGCACGGTGGTTACACGGCTTGTGGTTTTGGGTAACGTCATTTTGGCCTGTGTATTAATTGATGTCACTGCTGATGTGCTGATCTAAGACATTTAAAGGGCCAGTTCACCCATGAATAAAAATTCTGTCATTATTTACTCACATTCGTCTTGTTCCCACCCTGTATGCTGCTTGTTATGTTTTCTAGGGTAGACAAGGAGTGTCTTGTCAACCATCAAAAATGCATACTATTTTGTGTTTATTTCTGTTTATATGATTATTTATGTATAATATTCCATTGCAGCTCCTTTATATACACTACTATTTTTTTTTTTTTTTTAAATATTACTTTTGTTCAGCAAAGACACATTAAATGTATCAAAAGTGACAGTAAAGACATTTATAATGCTACAGAGGATTCCTATTTCAAATAAATGCTTTCTGTTCATCAAAGAATGCAGAAAGAAAAAAATATATAATAGTTTCCACAAATATTATGCAGTACAACTTTTTGTCATCATTGATAGTGTGTGTGTATGTATGTATGTATATATATATGTATAAGAGATTTATTTCAAAAACATTAAAAATGTTACAGACATTTGAACAGGGTGTTTAAATTCATATGATTTATATAAAATTCCCATAAATTAAAAAACTTAATATAATATGATTTCAGTTAATAAATGTTTTACTTACATTTTTGAACATTTTTTAAAACTAATTATTAAAATACATTTTTAAAATTATTATATTATTATTATGCCATGGATTTTATTTATTTTTATTTGTTTTTTCAATTAATAATTACTTAAATTGAGATATTTTCCTTACGTAAAGCTATTGTACACTGTGGTCTGGAGTATAGTACATGGGTTGAATTGGGTTACATTTATGGTGTTATTTTATTTATTTATTTATTGTCTTTTAAACCGTCTTCTAAAGAAATTATTTTACAAATTGGTCTTAAACAATAAATAAAGAACCTGCTACATTTTCTATCTGTCTGTAACACCTGAGTGATGATATTCATGTATATAAATTAATTTGCTTCTTTTAGCAGGTCATTGCACATCTTTGAGAGATGTTTGAGAAACAACCCTACGGCAGTCCCCCAATGTACACCCCACCTTCCAATGGCTTTGGACCACCGGGGAGCTTCCAAGACCCACGGAGTGAATTCGATCCCTACCCTCAACCTCCAGGATCCTACTATGTGGGCGAGGAGGTGCCACAGCACTTCTACAAATGGTTCTCCCCTCCGGGAATTGTGAAGATTATGATGGGAACCATCATAATCCTCTGTCTGGGAATCTTCGCCTGTGTGGCCTCGACTCTGGTTTGGGACACGCAGTATGGATTTGGTTACGGATCTGGATATTCCAGCTATCCTGGATATGGAAGTGGATACGGCAGTGGGCATGGATACGGAAGCTACGGATACGGAAGTGGATATGGATACGGAAGCTACTACAATTCTTACCCGACCCCTTACTCGGCAAAGACCAGTATGATCGCCATTGCCGCCATAAACTTCATCATTGCTTTGGGATTCTTTGCAGTTAGCTTCTCCAAAACAAACACGTTCCGCAGCAGGAAGTTCTACCTGGTGGTGCTTGTTATTTGTTCTATAATGGCTGTGATTCAGGGCATTATAAACATTGTGTACATTGTAGGAGTGAACCCTATGGCCCAGAGCTCCACCAGCTCATACTACAACCCCATGCTTCTCATGTGTCAGAACCTCTATGGCAGCAGTGTGACAGGAATGGGGGCCGGCTTTCCTCTCTATAACCAGTACTTGTACCACTACTGCTACGTGGACCCTCAAGAGGTACCATTTAAAGTTACAGGATTTTTCGAAATGTCTTTAGAGACTACATTTAATTTATGTTTTCTTTATAGTCTACAATCAAAGGATTGCCATAGACCATAATTTCAACTCCTCCAGTGTGTAAATCAGTACAGGAAGTGCATTTACACTTACAGTGGAAGCCTGATCTAATCTAACCCTTATATTTTATTTAGTTGCTGTAATCTGTTGTGTTTAGGTTGATTTAGTGATGTTAAAGGAATAGTTCACCTAAAAATGAAAAGTCTTGTCTTCATTTGCTCACCCTCAAATCACTTGCTGGTAGCCATTGACTTCCATATTATGGGGGAAAAAATTATGGATGTCAATGGCTACCAGCAACTGTTTGGTTACCAACATTCTTCAAAATATCTTCTTTTGTGTTCAGCAGAAGAAAGGAATGTATACGAGTTTGGAACGACATGAGGGTGAGTAAATGATGACAGAATGTTCATTTTTGGGTGAATTGTCCCTTTAAATCGTAATTTCAAGGGTAAGTTTACCCAAAAATTCTGTCATGTTTACTCACCCTCATGTCGTTCCAAACCCATAAGACTTTTGTTCATCCTCAAAACACAAATTATGATATTTTTATCAAAACCTGAGATTTTCGTCCCTCCATTGAAGGTCCGTGTAACCAAAACGTTTAGATTCAAACAGATTTCATAAAGATTTTCAAAAACCTTCTAAAAAAAATAAACTAAGAAAAAAACCCTCTTTGATTTGAGACATTGGACTTAACACTACAGTTTTGTCGTTTGCAGGCAGTTGCAATGGTTTGTGGGTTCATGGTTGTGGTGGCACTGGCTGTGGCGGCCTTCTTCTCCTATAGGACCAGAAGTAAAATCTGGCACTATGGGAAACCAAACATCTACTGGGATCGACCACTAATGGGATTTTAAATATATTGTTTGTACAATATATATATGTATATACAGTATGTATATATATATATATATAGGTAGAAAATTTGAAAATATATACAAATATATGTTACAATGGTTAAAAATAATTTAATAACTAAAACTTATTATAGTTTTATCTATTTTAGCAATACTTTTTGAGCCATATTTTGAAACACAAAACATCGGAATTTAGATTAATACTTATTTGCACATTATGTACTGAAAATGTGACAAAACTGTACATTCTGGTACTGACAAAACTGTTCATCAACCATGTGGGCATTGTTATCAGCTAATGCTGATTATTTAAAAAATAGCCAAATATCGACCAATTTATCATCCTAGCTAGTGTAGTAATGACTGTCTGTTCACATTGCATCTATGGTTTTATTTGCTTTACAGAACAGTGTGTTTCAGTAGTAATACTGTACATTAGTGCTGTGTAAGAGAACATGAGTCATGTTGTGTGTGCGCGCGTGCATCACTCAATAACATTGCATTACTCACTGTGACTCTTTCTTATTTGAAAAAGAGAAGCAATTAAAGCAATGAAGGTTATTCAAGAAACAGGCATTTTGCAATAGAAAGATCAAACGAACTTTCATTTAATTATCATCCATTTATATAAAGTGAAATGTCTGTGAGACTCCTCATAGCAAAGAAAAATAACAGATGAGAACCCTTTAATATCTTAATTGTTTTTCCTAGACAGATATACAAAGATTAAATGAGAGCAAATGCAGACCTGTAGCATTTCAAAAGAGATCAAACTGCTCACTGCTCAGATGTACTAAAACACCAAAGTTTCATATCAAAAGTCAGAGAGCTCAGTATGAACTCAAACATCACATTTTTCCAAAATCATTCATAATTCTATCGCTCTGTACTCTTAATGTATGTTACAGTTGTTTCTATTTTTAATTCTATGAATTTTAGAAGAAATGTCTGCGACAAGGTTGATAATTAAATAAGCTTTAAACTGAGAATCTTGAGCTAACTTGAGCAGCCTCTAGTAAATCTTTCATCCAGGTCTACAGGTTATTAATGAACCCGTAGCTGGTGGTGAAGGCTCCGCGGGGTGCGGTTTGATTTTGGATTAAGTCCATTGTAAACAATTACTACCATCATGAGACTGGTCTGCCTTTCTCTGCCCTGGTACTTTCAGTAAATCTATGAGTTCTGACAGCGTTCCACACACTCCCTTTGAATACCTTTCTCTCCTTGCCTTTCTATCTCTCCTTCACACTTTTATTTCTGGTGCAAAAGGAGGTCATGAACATGAAATGTCCCTCTTTTCTGTGTTCTCAAGCATTCTTTCCCTGCTTATGTAGCGTGATCACAGATCAGCGGTGGCAGTAGCTCATGCAGGGAAAGCATTGTTGGAATTCCTGGATGATTTGAGCTCTTCTGCACAGTGGCTTTTCCCTTCTCCCCAGCTGCAGGGAAACGCTCCTCCACCCTCTTTCCTGCTGTGTCCTCTCTCCTAACACACACACACACACACACACACACATACATACCTTCACGCACAGCCCCTCCAGAACAAAACAAACAATTCCACCGGCACGCACACCTGAATTCATTGTTTTAGCCGTGTACTGCTCGTAATTGTTTTTCCTTATATCCGTTTATCCACTCTTCGTCTTGTTGTATTATAAATCATATATTGTGCCAGAAATCTTTACTATTATTGGCATTGTGGGTTTGTCACAAAACACTCACTTACATGCTGAGAACATCCTCTGAAATCAAACCTCAACAGGAAGAGCAAGAGCACTTTTGCTTCTTATTCCCTATAGTCTTTCCTGTACAGTAGCAGAAGGAAAATAAAGTCTAAACAATGGATCTAAAATGGTTTCAGTGTTGGTATAATGTTCTGCACAGACTGCATTTTCAAAAGTCTGCGATCAAGACAGATTGTTGTTAATAATGTACTTTTTGTGCATTAAAGTAATATACACAACATTCTTACAGGCTTTTAACAAGTAAAACTGATCCGTTATTTATTTTATGTCACTTTTCCAAACAGATTTTTAACATTTTGTTTTGCATATTTGCACTGCTGTTCAAAAGTTTGGGGTCAGAAAGATTTTTTTAAGCAAGGGTGCATTTAAGAAAATCGGCATTTATAATGTTACCGAAAATTCTATTTCAAATTAATGTTCTTTTGAACTTTCTATTCATCAAAGGATCCTAAAAATGCATAGTTTTCCACACAAGTATTAAATCTCTTTTCAGTATTGATAATAATAATAATAAATGTTTTTTTTTTAGCACCAAGTCAGCATATTAGAATGGTTTCTGAAGGATCAAGTGACACTGGAGACTGAAAATTAAGCTTTGCCATTGCGGGAATAAATTACAATTTAAAATCGATTGAAACCGAAAACAGTTGTTTTTAATTGTAATAATATTTCACATTATTACTGTTTTTACTCCATTTTTCATCAAATAATTGAAGCCTCGATGAGCTTCTTTCAGATACATTTAAAAAATCTTACCAACATTTATTTCACATTTCAGTTAGTATTACTGTGTATAACTGCATTGTATATCGATCAATGCAATACAAAATTTTCCTAAAGGTTTGGCAGCCAAAAAGGACTATTTTTATCTAAAGATCAGAGATAGTGTGGAATATGGTCATCAAAAATTTAAATTGGATGTTGATGCAAAATATTTCTGCGAACATTATAAGCAAAAGTATTAAAATGATACAATAATTTAAGACCCTTTTAAAATTTTATCCTGATTAAAGATGCTACTGTTCATCAAACAAAAGTGACTTAACCATTTCAGATTCACTTTAAAAAAATGTGTTCTTCTCACTTGCTTGCTTAATTGTTTGTGATGTCTTTTCGCCTGTCATTATCTGAGATATGTTGCTTCCTGATGTTATGCACGTCATACTCCTTGTTCAGATATGAATCAAAGTTTGCAGGCATTTTACTTAACAGTTTGTTACTTTTTTCAGGTCAACCACGTACAGGATGGACAGAGCGTGCAGGAGGCATCCATGGTGTTCTCAGAGAAGATGGCTCCTGTTCTGATTTCAGCCCCCAGTGTCGGCTCCATCCCCCTGAAGACCGGCAGTGTCTTTAGTTCTGAGACCAACAATGTTATCGGGTGAGTGAGTAAACCGACCCTGGGATAGCTGGAGACTTTAAAGCTTAGCTCCATGTGAACAGGCAATATTGCATGCCCCTGCTAAGGAAATGCTGGAGCTAACTTTATAGCTTAAAGTCTTAAGTCATTTGGAATTGTATTCCAGTTTTCCATACACTACTGATCAAAAGTTTGGGTTCTCTTATGCTCACCAACAGTGCATTTATTTGATCAAAAAACAGTAATATCGTGAAATATTATTACATTTTAAAATAACTGTTTTCTATTTTAGTATATTTAAAAATGTAATTTATTCCTGTGATGCAAATCATCATTACTCCAGTCTTCAGTGTCACGTGATGCTTCAGAAATCATTCTAAAATGCTGATTTGATGCTCAGTAAACAAAGGTCTTTATTGTCATTTTAAAATAAAAGTATTAATTTCCTTTGTCAAAAAATCTAACATTTGAATGGCAATGTACATGTACATGTGTCTCCTTGTTCAAAGTAGTCCGTGGCTTTTTTTGCGACCTTGGTTAGCTGATGTTAAATCATCATTGCTATTGTCTGGATCATTAATCTGCCTGATGGTCTGGGCCATTAGTTTTATGAAGTCAGGTCAGATTACACCAAATATGACGTGTCTTGGCATGAGATCAAACTTTTTGCATTTTTTTAATCAGATGTTCTTTCATTATAATTTGTTTTTAAATCAGGTCTGTCCCTCCTTGTCTGTCTGTCTTTTTTGTGTGGCTCTACAAGCTTCAATGATTCAGTATAAATTAATTAATTAATATCATTTTTCTATAGGCATCATGGGCAAAGTTAAGAGTAAGTTAAGAGTAAGTTAAGAGTAAGCAAACAGGCAATGCCTTTATTTAAAAGATGATTGGCTTTTAATTTTTTCATTAAAGAAATTAAAAAAAGAGCATTCTGTAATTTGACCTAACATGTTTATTGGATATGATGAAAAACATCACAATGAAGTGCAATGAAGAAAACATTGCTTATTAACACAGTGAAATGTGAAACACCAGCTTATGAGGATATGTGAAATGCTTGAGCAAATTATATTTTGCTGTAGTATTGCCAACATGTTTCTGTTAATGCTGTGTTTGGTAGCTTAAATATCATCTCAGTAAGAAAAGCATTGTGTCTATGAAACTTTCTCACTAATAATAATTTTTTTTTTTATAAAGTAGTAACAGTTTTTCCACCCACAGTTACCCTGAGCGCTCTTTCAGCCGGCCATCTCATTCTACATCCCCGTCTGGAGAAGTGAGCTCAAGCCCCTCCGACCAGACGGACACCATCCGCAAACCGTCCGCCTCCAGGGGCAAGAGACGCAGGAGGAACCCTGAGCTGGATGAGTCCCAGTACGAAACCGAGTACACAACGGGAGGAGAGACTGCCAACGATTTTGATGAGGATCTATGGACACGGTAAGAATTGGTTGTGGTTCATGCAGGCCCAGGGTTAGTAGCGCATTCCCTTGGATACAGCAAGGAAGTCTGTAGGAGATAATCATCTCTGGCACGCATCTCCACATGCTAACATAATAGACTAAATTTGGGTTAATGGGTCAAAGATCTTTGCATATGTGTGCATGTTTACATGTGTTGTTTGGTTGGCTGTGATGAGTTAAAAAACAGATGTGGTTTGGTTTCACTCATTGTTGGACCATGATAAGAAAATCTTTTTGCAAACCATAAACTTACAGGGGACACATGACACATAAATGGAACACTTAACAGTAAAAATGAACTATATATTCTTTCAGCATTTATTAATTTATTTTGATAATCTTAGTTATACTTGTAATGTTAAAATACTTGTAATGTTGACTTTGTTGCAACCTAGAATTAAACTGCTGGTTTCGTCTGGCCAGAGGAGAATGGCACACTATTTCGACACACTATTTCCCTGATTAATACTGTAAAGCTTGGACACACTCTGCATTGTAAAAAGCGCTATATAAATAATAGTGACTTGACTAAAATACTTGTATTCACTGCATTTGTACATGTACATGTGTCTCCTTGTTCAAAGTAGTCCGTGGCTTTTTTTGCGACCTTGGTTAGCTGATGTTAAATCATCATTGCTATTGTCTGGATCATTAATCTGCCTGATGGTCTGGGCCATTAGTTTTATGAAGTCAGGTCAGATTACACCAAATATGATGTGTCTTGGCATGAGATCAAACTTTTTGCATTTTTTTAATCAGATGTTCTTTCATTATAATTTGTGTTTAAATCAGGTCTGTCCCTCCTTGTCTGTCTGTCTTTTTTGTGTGGCTCTACAAGCTTCAATGATTCAGTATAAATTAATTAATTAATATAATTTTTCTATAGGCATCATGGGCAAAGACCCTGTTAAGAGTAAGCAAACAGGCAATGCCTTTATGTAAAAGATGATTGGCTTTTAATTTTTTCATTAAAGAAATTTAAAAAAAGAGCATTCTGTAATTTGACCTAACATGTTTATTGGATATGATGAAAAACATCACAATGAAGTGCAATGAAGAAAACATTGCTTATTAACACAGTGAAATGTGAAACACCAGCTTATGAGGATATGTGAAATGCTTGAGCAAATTATATTTTGCTGTAGTATTGCCAACATGTTTCTGTTAATGCTGTGTTTGGTAGCTTAAATATCATCTCAGTAAGAAAAGCATTGTGTCTATGAAACTTTCTCACTAATAATAATTTTTTTTTTTTATAAAGTAGTAACAGTTTTTCCACCCACAGTTACCCTGAGCGCTCTTTCAGCCGGCCATCTCATTCTACATCCCCGTCTGGAGAAGTGAGCTCAAGCCCCTCCGACCAGACGGACACCATCCGCAAACCGTCCGCCTCCAGGGGCAAGAGACGCAGGAGGAACCCTGAGCTGGATGAGTCCCAGTACGAAACCGAGTACACAACGGGAGGAGAGACTGCCAACGATTTTGATGAGGATCTATGGACACGGTAAGAATTGGTTGTGGTTCATGCAGGCCCAGGGTTAGTAGCGCATTGCCTTGGATACAGCAAGGAAGTCTGTAGGAGATAATCATCTCTGGCACGCATCTCCACATGCTAACATAATAGACTAAATTTGGGTTAATGGGTCAAAGATCTTTGCATATGTGTGCATGTTTACATGTGTTGTTTGGTTGGCTGTGATGAGTTAAAAAACAGATGTGGTTTGGTTTCACTCATTGTTGGACCATGATAAGAAAATCTTTTTGCAAACCATAAACTTACAGGGGACACATGACACATAAATGGAACACTTAACAGTAAAAATGAACTATTTATTCTTTCAGCATTTATTAATTTATTTTGATAATGTTAGTTAAACTTGTAATGTTAAAATACTTGTAATGTTGACTTTGTTGCAACCTAGAATTAAACTGCTGGTTTCGTCTGGCCAGAGGAGAACGGCACACTATTTCGACACACTATTTCCCTGATTAATACTGTAAAGCTTGGACACACTCTGCATTGTAAAAAGCGCTATATAAATAATAGTGACTTGACTAAAATACTTGTATTCACTGCATTATGAATAAGTTTTAAAATATTCTTACTATTTTGCTGTTTTCTGACACAAATGAGAAATACAGGGTTGAAAGTTTGAGCGGTCACTTAGTAAAAAGTTGACCTTAGTAAGGAGTTAAGGCATAGTCACATTAGCAAAATTTCAGTGAATACTGGTACATATTTCACATTAGGTGAGTTTCTGCAAATAGTGGTAATTCATATTAGCAAAAACAAATGGCAAATTAAGTATTGAATTAGTGAATTTTTGGTGAATAGTAGTATTTCACATTAGCTAAATTTCTGTGAATCATGGAATTTCACATTAACAAAATTTCTTTAAATGGTTGTATTTTACATTAGTGAATTTCTTGGCAAATGGTTTTATTTCACATTGTGAAATTTCTGCAAATGGTTGTATTTGACATAAAATTTGGATGAATGGTTGCTTTCACATTAGTGAATTTTTGACAAATGATAGTATTTCACATGATTGAAATGTCTGCAAATGGTAGTACAGTATTTTACATTAGTAAAATTTTGGGCACATCTTGGTGTTTCACATTAGAAATATTTTGGTGAATGGTAGTATTTCACATTAGCGAACCTTTGGCACATCTTGGTGTTTCACATTAGTAATATTTTGGTGAATGGTAGTATTTCACATTAGCGAACTACATTAGTAAAATTTTGGGCACATCTTGGTGTTTCACATTAGAAATATTTTGGTGAATGGTATTTTTTCCATTAGTCGAATCTTGGGCACATCTTGGTGTTTCACATTAGTAATATTTTGGTGAATGGTAGTATTTCACATTAGCGAACCTTTGGCACATCTTGGTGTTTCACATTAGTAATATTTTGGTGAATGGTAGTATTTCACATTAGCGAAATTTTGGCACATCTTGGTGTTTCACATTAGTAAAATTTTGGTGAATGGTAGTATTTCACATTAGCAAAATTTTGTGATTGGTGAAATTTCAATTGAGCGCAATTTGAAATACCAGAGACCATTTTGGGGACTATTTATGCCCTCACTGATTGTGCATATTCCTATTCAAATTACTGGATTTTGCTGACAGATTGTAACGGTAAATGTGTGCACCTTTACTCGGTTTATGGTGGGTGTTTTTTTGGGGGTTTTTTTGCTGCGGTGTGGAAACTGAAATGTTGTCAGTTCAAACTCCACAGCAGTTAATCCATGAAATAACACCATTGTTGCTTTGATCAAGATGCTTAACTCTAGGTTGCTCCAGAGGGAATGTTGCTAAGAAGTGTGTCTGTAGCTATATCCATCTCTTTGGATAAAAGTTTATTTAAAAACTACCAAATTACTATTTACCTTAATTATCTTGCCTACTTTAAAGCTCATTATACAAGCTGCCATCCAGCTGCTTTCTGTTTCCTTCCCAATCAGTCTGTATCCAGAGATCACGTCTGACACCCAGCGACACGAGTACAAGAAAGAGTTTGACTCGGACCTCAGGACCTATAAGGAACTGTGCGCCGAAATGGACGACATCAGCGATCAGATAAACAAGCTCAGCAGAGAGCTGGACACACTTGAAGAGGGCTCGTCCAAGTACCAGGTGAGCGACTGAAACATTTCAGATGACTACTTCACCTCCCTGTTGTTCAAATCCATATGACTTTCTTTTTCATCTCTCGTTACAGGCTGTAGCAGAGGAATATAATCATCTCAAAGACCTAAAACGGGTGAGTCATGGGTATAAAACTAAAGTATGACTAAACATCTGACTCACGTTCATAGTAATAGATGCTCTGCTTTTTTGATGTTAATATGGGGCGTTCTTTCCCTTATTCTCTCTGCTTAGATGCCAGATTATCAAAACAAGAAGCACCTTTGTCGCAAACTGCGCCACAAGCTTTTCCATATTAAACGAATGGTTAAGATCTATGACCGCCGTCAGTAATAATAAGCTGCATTAAACCACCACACCTGCTCTCCTTGTTAAACACTTTTGCATTTAACTGATGAAGCCATCAAACGACTGTGTGACCAAAGTTGCCCGAAACTGCTGTAACAATGGCTTCATCAAGTGCTTATGATTAACCTGAACCCTAAAGATGGTTGGAAACGAAGACCAGAGATTTCAAAACCGGTCCTTCCAAAGTCTTTCCATTACCTGGAACTTGTTCTTTCACTGGAAACACCTGCTTTTTGTAGAGTGAGTGACTTCATGTAGCCTGTAAAATGCCATAAAGCATTGCAATATTGTTGTTGTTTTTTTGTTGGATGCGGTTTTGTGTGCTAACTTCGAGGTCAGCTGATTACATGTGTTTGTTGGAGGAAATGTACTTCGGACAATCCTCTCCAACTGAGTAATTTGCACCTGCATTGTCACATCTATGCTATCAGTTTCCTTGTGTATGACTGTAAATGGGTCGTGTGTTTTATTGTCTATTTCTGTAAAGGTGTAACAGTGGGGCACTGCTTGTTTTCAAGTCAGAAAACACAAACGTCTTTGTTTCGAGGTGTGCCAGAATAGTTCCCAGAAACAATTGAGGTATTTAAACTAGCACACAATTACAGAATTATAATTTTTTTAACAACTGACTGCCTCAGTAAAAGAAGAAATGGACATTTAAATCACAAAGAGAAACTGGAATTTCATATTCAGTTGTGATTTTTAAAGTTGAGTTTTGTAAAAAAAAAAAAAAAAGAAAAGAAACGGTGCCGTTGCAAATATGCAAAGATTCTGTTCATTTAGTTCTAGATGTTTATATCTCATTCTCATTGCATTTGATTCATTTCGAAATATTGTGATCTTCCTGCAATTTAAAACAGTAATAGCTGCTTTTATCTCTAATCAATCAAATATCTATGCAAGATCAAATATTGAAGTTATGTTTGTTTTGTAATGTTGTTATAGACAACAAGTAAGTTTTGTTCAGTTTTTTTTTTACTTGTTTTTGTATGAAATAATTTAAAAGTGACAGGGCGTTCATTTTCGTCTGTTAATGAGATAATGCTTTTTGTTTCTCACATGCGTAACAGCATTTATTTTCATCTGTACATATTTGTTGTCCTTTCTATTTTCAATAAAGTTTTATATTTTAAGTTTTAAATCTGTTTGTGTAAGTGCAACTAAGCTATTTAGAGTCAAAAGGTTTTTCTTTTATTGCAGTTTTTTCAATTGCTTAGACTTTTTCAAAACTTTGCCTCTTTTTTTTTTTCTTCAAAACTTTACACACAAATCCAAGAATTGCACACACAAAATGCAAAATGCCTCGCATCTCTTGCAAAATGAAGCATTGCATTCAAAATATCACAAACACATCTCAAAAGCAAACATTTGCAAACACCTTTGACATAATATGAATTCCTGTTCGATTTTTGTGTGTTACATAGAGAATTGTGTGTGCAAAAAGTGTTTTATGAAATTGAAAACTGAGTCAAAGGCCAAGGATTAATGTATGGTTTACAGATTGGTTTCAGAAATTGTGTGACAAGTAACGATTTTGTGTGTAAGCAGTTGAAAAAAACGAATAAAAAAAATAAAGGTTACAAATAATATAATATAAATGCACATTTTGGCACGAGACAGAATGTATGGTTTACAGATTGGTTTCAGAAATTGTGTGACAAGTAACGATTTTGTGTGTAAGCAGTTGAAAAAAAACGAATAAAAAAAATAAAGGTTACAAATAATATAATATAAATGCACATTTTGGCACGAGACAGAATTTTAAGAACTGCGTCAAAGAATTAGCGCAAATAATGTAAGAAATGTTAGACAACGGCGTCCTCTGCTGGGTGTCTTTTAAATAACAAGCTGAGGAGAAGGCACTCGTCTTATTTCGGAAATGTAGCGGAAACATACGAGGAGTCGTTCGGGAACGTTACGGAAACACACGATCGTTAATCACTCCGCGACAAGAAGCTAATAACTAAAGTACCAAGACGTGTGAACGCTGATTGGTCACCACGAGATTCACCACACGCTCCTGTCGTGACTGCTGCGGCGAGGCCATTCAGACAACGAGCAACGAGATGCACGAACACCAAATGAGGCTGTGATGTAGAAAAAAACTTTCTGAGGATATTTCAAAAGGTTAAATAGAAAGGTATGTGACTTTCATCTTAGTAAACTTTTCATTCTGTCATCAGCAACGGTGCTGCTGCTGTGTCTAATGACTTTTGAATATGCGCGCACCTGCGTAATATTATGACTGCATTGCGCTTCTCTGAGTTTGAAGTGTATCGTGACGTCTTCATTTTATCTTCTGCTTTTTTTTGTCATCTGCAATAACGTATATTCTGCATAAACCTAATGGAAGAATAAGTGTAGCCTATTATTTAGGTTTTCTAAATGCTCTGAGAAGCAGATTTAAATGGTCATATCAACCCATGAGATTATTATATTAATAGCAATGATATTTAATAATAATAATAATTATTATTATTATTATTAGGATATTTATTTTTATTAATAAAATGCAAATACATTATATTTGCATTTTAATGAAGGAGTCAGTCTTCAGCAGCCTTTTTTTTTTTTTTTTTTTTTACAAACTACATCCAACGCCACCTACTCACTCATCCTCATAAATACACACAGGGCTGTACTGGTTTAATTCGCTTAAAGGATCAGTGTGAGTTCGGGAGACCTGCACCTTGTGTTCGTTCACGTGGTCTGGGTGTCTGCAGGACCTCTTTAATCTGTCCCTGTTCAGACCTGACACGGCTGAAAACAAGTGCGCACTGCAGTGCACACCAGAAGAACCTGACAAGTACCTTTGCCTTAGACAGTCGGAGAGTTATACAGTTTGATTAATACTTATACACAGTATTGGGGAAAGTTACTTTTAAAAGTAATGCTTTACAATATTGCGTTACTCCCTAAAAGAAGTAACTAATTACGTTACTTAGTTACTTTTCATGGAAAGTAATGCGTTATATTACTTTTGCGTTACTTTCGCGTTACTTTTTAAATATAAGCAGAGCTTGATTGTTTTTAATATAAGAAGCTCTATTTATAGCAAATATAAAAGCCCTTTCACATCAAAAACTGTAATGAATAAACCTCTGTACAGTAGAACGCAGAAGAAATACTCTTCAGCAATAAAAAAAAACAATGAAGCACAATTGTTAGTTTCTCTAAAGTCATTTTTGCTTATTAGTTTGATTGAACTGGATCGTCAAAGGTCAGCAGCAAAGATATTGGTTAGTGAAATGGGATTAGATACATTTGTGTTATTTAACATATTTAATTATTCTGAGTTTGCACTTCACTGTTTTAATTCATTTTGATGAATACTAAATCTGTTTTTCGTGAGTGGGATGAATTAATGCGCATTCACATTTAGTCTAGAACTACAGTAACATCATGTTCACACAGCGCACACAACGCCTCTGCACTTCTGATTTCTCCCAATATGGGGACAGAAGAGCTGTCAGTCAATAAATGGGAAAACAAAGTAACTGGCATTACTTATTTGAAAAAGTAACTCAGATATTTTCTTGTAGATTAAAAAAGTAATGCGTTACTTTACTAGTTACTTGAAAAAAGTAATCTGATTACGTAACTCGCATTACTTGTAATGAGTTACCCCCAACACTGCTTATACAGTTATGCAGATTAATGGTTGCTAATGTGTCTGAGGCTTTGCTAGGGTGTTGCTATGCAGTTCTGGGTTGCTTCTAGGGTGCTGCTGATGTCTTGTGTCCATTCTGTTATATAAAAAAGAAAGCTTATTAGGTCAACACAGGCTGAAGGCCTTGAGCCAAGTTTGGTGGATGTAACTCTATATGGCAGTGCATTTTTTCTCAGTGCACCATGTAAATGCACAAACTTTTATCTCCTTTATTAGTCATGTTCATTCGTCTAAGTCAGCAGTTTTATTTGATCATAAATGAATGAGACTGAGTTAATTAGAGCCTAAATAAAACATATTGCACACCATGGAACATGATTGCATTTAATTTGGGCACATAATTTAGTTTCAGAATGTAGCGGATCATTAATAAAAGCTTATCAGAGTCTGGCCATGTCCATTCAGTCAACAAGTTCATCATAAATAAACGCATAGAAGCTGAAGTAGTTTCTTTGGTGTGACATTGCACTACTGTCCCAAACAGAAAACAAGAGAACATTGTGCACCAAAATAACATACAATTAAGAACCTTACTTAATTTTATAGTGTCGTATGGATTTGTGACATATGGTGTCAAATACATTTTTATCAGTGCACATGTAAATGTACAAACTTATTTATAGGAGACCTCTTTTATTCTTCATTCTTATTGTGTAAAAGCAGGAAATAAAGTACAGTTAACCTGAAGAAATGCATGCTATTCTGAAGTCTAAGACTACATCGAAAATGTGGGCTAATTTAAATCTGGAAAGAAACAGGAAAACATGGAAATATTGTGAATATACCTGAAGTATGTGCACAAGATAAATTCATTTATTTTGTTGGCTGGACAAACTGGTGGTGTGTTTAAGCTTATCATTCAAAGATCTGCATCTTAAAAAGAAGGCAATAAAAAATAAAAGGCTTAATATTTCCTAATTTGATGATGCTGATTTCATAAATATCAATAAAAAACTTTCCATCATGTACAGTTTTTTACAAAATAAGAATGAAGATTTTCCAAATGATAAAGTTTGGGGTTTACTCCATTTAATGTCAAAAGTACTTGACTTTTTTGAATGACATACAAATCTCAAATTTTCATTTGTCTCAAATTGTCATGATTATAATATAATTTGTCATTAAAGATGTTGTATTAAATTAGAAAATGTGAAATAGAAGCCATTTCACTAGTGGTCTCATAGCTCATAGGGCCATGCTGTATGCCTATATTATAAGCTGATTTTCAACATTTTAGCATTGGTTTGTGAAGATTTGTGGCTGGAATAAGGAATCGACTGAGAGTCGAGGTGCTCTGGCAGGTTGTGTGGGTGTGCTGGAGAAACGCTGAGAAGTCGTGCTGATTCAGCACAAATACATCCCACTCTGTCCCCAAACACCCATTAAAAGTGCTCTCTCTGCTTCCTCGGGTCTCTCTGGACCTGGACCCACTGTCGTAACGAGCTGATCGGAGCAGAGCCGCAGAGTGATCAAAAAATAATGCATTGTTGCAGCTTGAGTCTGTGTTGAGTTTGCTGAGTTTTGAAAGTAAGGCTTGTTACAAACCCCTCCCATCTTTCTCAGCTGTTACACTGATCTTAAAGGGGTCATATGATGCTTTTTTAAAGATCATTATTTGGTGTAACAGAATTTGTTGACATGCTTTAATGTTCAAAAAACACATTATTTTTCAAATACTGTACCTTATTGTAGGTCCTCTATGCCCCGCCTCTCTCAAACGCTTAGTCCCTCCTTCTGACAAGCGCAGTCTGCTCTGATTGGCCAGCTGACCCAGTGCATTGTGATTGGCCGAACACCGCAAGC